CATTCAATTGCATCAATATTTTTTGAATTTGACCTTTCCTTTGACTCTGACCTCACTTTTCTTATATAAGTGTTTAGCTAAGTTTTCAAGAAACAATTCAAGATACCGAAAAACTTGTTTACTACAAACACGGATAATTCAAATTTACGGATACAGCGAAGGAAGTTAAATTGGATCCCCAACAATATAAATTTAACAAATTCCTCATACAGATACATGTATTACGAATTACAGAGTAATTTCATAGGTCCCAGTGACTTCATTATAACCAAGTTTTATTGTATTTTTATCAAAATTTACATGCCAATACATACTGATGAGAGCTATCAACTGCTTCAACATTTTTTGACCTGGCATTTTTTTTTACCTTGACCTCACTTTTCTTAAATTAGTGTTTAGTTTAGTTTTAAAGAAACCATTTAAGATAGTGTAATTAAACTTGATATGTTGATACAAACTGATGGAAACTATTCAATTTTTAGTTCACCTCGACGAAGTCAAGATGAGCTTATGCTAAACCCGCAGTGTTGGCATCGATGTAAGCGTCGATGTGCAGGTTAAAGTTTTAGAAGCAGGTCCATTCCCAAGTAACTATAAGCCCTACCAGGATCAAACTTGCATGGATGATGCATCTAGGGATGGACACTACCAGACTTGCTTCAAATGCTGAATCTGACCTACATTTTCCGGATGAGTGACCAGTTTAAAGTATTTGGAGCAGGTCCATTCCCAAGTAACTATTAGCCCTCTCTTGACCACACTTGCATGGATGATTCATCTAGGAATGGACATTACCAGACTTGCTTCAGATGCTGGACTTGACCTACATTTTCTAGATGAGAGACCGTGCTTCTGGAGTAGCTCTTTAATCATATGGTCTGTTGTGATTTAACCTGCATGAATGACACATCTAAGGATGGACTTGCAGTCTTTCTTCAGATGTAGTGCAGTCTTTCTTCAGATGTAGGAAATGAAAGACATTTTCTTGATTAATGAACAGGTTGAGGTTTTTGGAACAGGTCAATTCCCAAGACTTTAACTTAAACAGAACTTGCATGAAGTCAAAATTGTCAGAATGCACACTTACTATTATATAATATTATGTAAGATTTGCATTACTTATACTGATAACATTTGTCAAGGTGAGCTTCGTAATCTTTGATTACGTATGTTTTTTAATTTCAATTTGAATTTTAAAGAAACTATTCAAGACATTCTTATCAAACTTCACAAACTAATACAAATTTTCATGTTGCATTACTAATATACAATTACTAATAGTATATTGGGGGCATCCATGTCCTATTGACGTATTTCTAGTTTTAATTTATACTACAACTACATTACGAAAGATAATTTCCTGTACTAACATGTACATCATTTATCAAAGCTGTTTTTTATCATTCTGGGGATTAAGAAGGTGAAAACTATACAAAGTTACCAACAAATTTTATTTACATAAACATAACATTTACATAAAAACAGAAATGTTCACTTTGGACATTAACCTGTTTCGTTTGTGTCATTGTCAGTTTGGGGAGATTCTGTCTTTAGCGGCATTTGAGACTGTGATCCAGGGGATTCCCTCCCCTTCATGCCCCTCGACGCATCATCACCTTTACTGCAGTCTTCATCAGAATCCTTGTCTTCTTCCTCTTCACTCTCCTCTTCACTCTCCTCTGAACTGAAATGTTACATTAAAAATGTTTTGAAATGAAATTTTTCTACTGAAGAAATTCTCTTTAATTCAATGATTTTCTTCAAGAGTAATAATTCTGTTCATTGCACAGCATTTGCTATAGCAGCATCTACAGTATACAATAGCAGCATATACAGTATACAACAGCAGCATATAGAGTGTATGTCACTGTATGATAAAGAGATAGATCAAGGTGTGTAATTCCAGCCTTGTGTAGTGTCATACCTGTCTGTAGGTGGCATCTCCCCCACCCTCCTGTTGGGATTACAGAATTCCAGATCCATATCAATGTCTGTCAGATCTTGTGGGGGAAAAGTATATATAATTGATTATGTAAATAAATGCATTTGAAAAAGAAGCCAATTTTTCCTGATCTTTCTGCATTTGAAATATTTCCAATTTTTACCAACTCCAACACATCAATTTATTATTTAATAGTATATACAGGTATGTATTTATCCAGTATTAAATCAAATTTGTACCAATTTGAACGTATTAAATTGCAGAACTTTATATATTGCATGTATTTCACAGAAGGACAGGAAAAACTTCTTGACAATTAAAGTTTCTACCTTGCTTTGGTTGGCTGTGTTCTTCCTCTAACTGCTCTAGGTACTCTTTCTGTGCTGCCACAACCTCTGTGCTATCTTTACATTTAGCATATTTCTCCAGCAATTCTTGATTTACTTCATAAAAGGTGTGCCCCCATTTGAACTTCTTTAACAAAATATCACCAAGTTCTTTGTATCCTACAATATCCATTGTAATATATTCATAAGGTTGTAACTCAGAGACCCTAAAGCTGTTCATGCATGAACCATACAAAATATAGATGAACTTTTGTTTCTCAGATATCAATATCTGAAATACCAAAGATATATGTGTAATCAAGTCAGAAATTGTTAAATATCCCAAAGTTTTCCCCAACCTTGTTGAGTTTGAGAGAACAAGGATTGCTTGTACTGTATAACCTACTATTTAGTATTACAACTATTAGTAAGCACTTCAAAATAAAGTAAATCAACTTTACCTTTCCATGCAGCTATCATCTGTTCATTATTTTCATGAGGAGAGGAAAATTGCAAAACTGTTACTGTTGATCTTAATAACCTGTGATATAAAATGCTGCAGCGTACGCCTCCACACAAGACAGTTTACATGGCTTTCCGTAGTTGATGGGGTTTGTAGCCACCAGGTAGGGGAGCAGTCGTGGATGACCTCCCCTCATTCTGGAGAAGGGGGTGTCCTCCAAACGGGCCCAGGAACAATCTATGACTGCCACTCCATTTTGAGCCACAATTTCCCTTAATAACAAAAGTTAACGATATATAATTATATACTATATAGAGTCACAACAGCTCTAGGAATTAGCTCTTTTCTTATTTCATGTCAGAACAGGATAAACTTAAAATGCCTGTAAAAGCTTGGAATAAAGAAATAATTTTTACTTCCAAATGCAGTTTCTCTGACTTTCCTTTATAAATATAAATATCTAATTAATTGATAATATATACATAAATAATAAATTCTCTTCTTTTCAAGGTGGTATTTAATTCCATTACAAGTTCAGGTGACATTTTCAATGTTTTATTTCAACATTCACCTGTCCTCTGGAGACACACATTTGATTCCCATGGGTGACAGTATCAGCCCACTAAACCTCTGCTGGAGCCTCAGGGTTCTAACGTACCCTAACCGTCCCAGCTTCCTACCACTGCACTTCCTCGGATCACAGTGCTCTAAGTCCCACATACCTAAAGGACAGGGGAAATTCTCAGGGGCATAGGACGGAGATTCCTCATCACTGTCTACAACAAATTAACATAAATCCACTTAATACTATGTTGCAGGTTAATAAAAATATTTCAAAATAAGTCACTGAAGTATTAAATTGTACATACCAGTAATTTTACATAACATTACATGTACTTGTGCAATTTTCAGAAATAAAACTGACATGATCACTGCATAACTAGTCAGGTGCTCTATCAACTGAGCTAACATTTATCCTGAAATCCAAATCCAAAACCATTTAATTCCTCCCTTCTTTATTTGTCTTTGCCATGGAAAACACAACATATGTAAATTACTGTAACCTAATCAATACATGTAATAACACTGTAACAGGAACTGAAAAAAAGAAAGTACATGTACCATGTCACGATTCGACTGCAGCTTTCTTAACTCTACACACACTGTACATGCTCGAATGTCAGACACCTCAGCCCAATGACACCTTGGCTCTGACAGGTCGGCCCAAGATCAAAGACAGGTCGGCCAATCTATGACACCTCGTCCAAATTAGAATTTCAATGATAAATATTTCATATGTTTCCGATTTCTGAATTTGCGACATTTAAAAAAATATTTATGGAAAAAAATAAACCAAAAAAAGATCATTTTTTTCTTAATTATAGGCCTAAAGAAACTTCCCAAAGCATATAACATAACTTTAATTAGGGAACGAGAAGACATAATGAAGGTGTTCAATCAGTTAATTGCTAAACAAACAAAATCCGCGGCATATTCTTTAGAGTGTCCGATGCATTGTCCTTGGTTAATTACAAGCAGGCCCCATTGAATATTGTATCCAATGATTCTTATGAAAACAGTCATGAGTTAATTAATGGTTTCAACCATAATATACGTTAAAAAAATTTATGCAGATATTTTTTTAAAATTCTCGCTTTCTATCTCTCATGCTGAAAAAATGCATATAGGAAAGGAATGTTTCTACTTTAATGAAATAAAGTATTGCCTATTTGCTTGGCATCAGAGATCTATAAGAGAGGGTCCCTCTCTTATATGTCTCTGTTGGCATTTACATTGCACATTGCCATGAGAGAGAGAGAGATACTGTGAATAAAATGATATGATCATAGTCCCCTCCCCTTCTTAATTTGATTTTTAGAAAGAAGAATAATTAATCATCAGAAACTTGACAGAAGGACAAACTAATTACACAATAATGTAAATTCAGACACTAGTCTAGATTAATTTTTTCTATCAAAAAATTTTGCTTGGGCCGAGGTGTCTTTTATATGGGCCAACGTGTCAATAATTTTGGGCCGTCCAGGTCCTGTTAGGGCCGAGGTGTCAACTGTCATGGCCAAGATGTCTGTCTACCACATGCTCTACCGACTAAGCCACCAGAAAATATACCAGCTAGTTCAACTACTGCGAGCATTCCTCTCTTCAATAATGTTTACATCAACCCTTGAAAACACCAAATCTGAGGCCTGTTCAACAAAGCAAGTGCTTGCTAACATTAATTCTTTAGGAGTTATACAGAATTTTGACAAGCGCTCGCAAATGTTAATGCTATAGACCCTTTTCCTGTGACATATAACCACATATTTTGCCTAGGAGTTATTCCTCTTAGCCGTCATCTTGTAGGGCAAAGTAGTGAATTTACCTCTTTGAGCAACCAATTTTAAACATGCATGCAAGAAATATATGGGGGAAAATATTCACAATCTTATAATCATGAATTAATAGAGACTTTAACAAACGTATACTGTAAATCACTTTTTATTCAATTACGTATAAAATTTCATATAATAGAAAATTATATACCACAATTATATATAAAGAGTGAATGACTTATACATAAGAAAAATAACATTATCTTTACCTCAATAGGCAGTATAACAAATTGAACTTGGTTGAATAATGAAGGGATCTGGGAATGTAATGTTGCCCTACAATATGGTGGCTAAGGGGAATAACTCTTAGACAAAATATGTCATAGGAAAAGGGTCTATTCAGAACAGGCCTCTGATACCTAATTTGCCCCTGCTGGGCGGACTTTAAGGTTCAAGTGGCGAAACCACTCAGCGCAAACACATTCAGCTTGAACACGTAATCGGGGCGAACCCACCCATTACCGTTCAAGTTCACTGGTGGTCAATATAGAAGTAAATGTAAACAATTGAGAAAATACCATATATACAAGGATTTGAATCAATAATGAGGCACTACATGTGTTACACAGGCAATGTTTTACAGATTATAAGCTATCTGCCACTAGGAATCAACCCTGTCTAACAGCCTCATTCCTCCCTCCTTTGATGATTAATAAATTATTGCCTGAACAGAAGACACGTGCATATATAGCCCACACTCAATCAGTCATATAGGCTAGGCAGGATTTCAACCTGCAAGTTCATGGATGGAAATAGCTGCAGATCTGTAGCTCTCTGAAAAAAATATATTGATAGACAGGAGAGCTAGAGTGCCACCCATTGAAAAAACTGTATATTTATTGCGCACAAAAAAGTGCGCTCGGTTCTCGATTTATTTCTCCATGTTTTTAAAAATGTAATCTCAAAATATTTCTAACCGTGTGTTCCTTAGCATATTCTTTCGCTGTTTCCACAACCAAACTTTTCTCATAATTGTTGTTAATAGTCCTCCTGACCCTGATATTGTAATCATCGAACATTTTGCTTAATACTGCCATTTTGGTTTCAAAAAACGGTCCAATATGCTTCGTTCGGATGTCAACTACGAAGTACTTGATTATTAGAAGATAAAGGAATTTTTGAAATCTTTCCTTATTTGCAATTGAGGTAAGAATTTGAAAGAATTAATGAAGAACCGAGCGCACTTTTTTGTGCGCAATAAGGCTATAATAAAAATATTCCTAGATATATCCCCGCCCGCCCCGATTTTAAACCCCCGCCTCGATTTTTTTATTTCTGTTTTTCTTCGTCTTTATTCTGATCAGGATCGGTATTCATCTATACCATTCTACTTTCGTTTTAAATCCCGCAAATGTCAACATGATTTTGACAGCTGAAAAGATTGTAACTGCTGTAATACATGCATATATATTTTAAACAAGTGTCATTGGTTGAAAAAGATTGGTGATGATGTATAGTAAGAGTTAATGGAACCTTTACTATGACTTTTATTCTGGTTTTATAGATAAAATTACACCGACTGACTAGGTCAATAAAAATTCTGCAAAATTGAAAAAATAAAAAATATAAAATAAAAGCAGCCCGCCCGCCCCGATTTTTAAAAAAAGTCGGATGAGAATCTAGCAATTTATTTATTATGGCCTAAATATACAGTTTTTTCAATGGGTGGCACTGTAGCTCTCCGGTCTATCAAAATATTTTTAAGAGAGCTACAGATCTGCAGCTAGGATGGAAAAGCAAATGTTACAGGTTAACATCTGAAATATGCAACATATCATTGTCAGAAAAGGATTTACACCGTACAGACGTCTTTTAACTCTAGACTGGAAAAATGTTATATTAACATCAACAAATTTAGAGCTGTCTCACCAATTTGACATGCTGCCATGTTACTGCTACATTTTTCAACATCAAACTTCTCATCCCTCTGTCGTCTCCTATCGTGAAACTTCTTTTTTCCTCCAGTTTGTTTGTTACTTTTGCCCATTTTTCAATTGTACGTGTTTTCAATAAGAACAAGCATTTCCAATGGGCGCAGCCATATTGTAGGTCATGTGACGGAATGCGGGTGGTTTCGCTCCGATTACGTGTTCGCGCCGAGTGGTTTCGCTCCTATCACTTGTTCGCGCCGAGTGGATTCGCCCCCATTGGTTTCTACTGTATAACTGAAGATACCGCTCATCGGATAGTCGTTTGATTATTATATATAATAAGATATTATAAAGAAAAGGTAATTGCAATGAAATGAGAAGTCTTTAAGAATAATTGTCTTAATTCATGCAGAAGAATCCTTGTTCTACATAATTTAATATAATTGTAAATCAAATGAAAAACAATGACAACCTTCATTGAAAAGTCAACGAGATTTGTGAAATAAATATTTATTTTAACATCTTAAATTATTCCAAATTAGACGATCAAATTTATTCAAATATAGTCATAATTTGGCTAAAATAGCCTCACTATAAGAATAGATACAAAATGGAATAATTATCCGACATAACACGACATTAACGCTTTGGGTTCATTAATTACAAGCTACTAAGTTATATAATAACAGGTAATCGGGGGGAAGCCATACTGTATAGGCCTACATACTACCCATACCTTACCTGTAGATAAATGGGGCGAAACCACTCGGCGCGATACCACTCAGTGCGAACACGTAATCGGCGCGAAACCACCCTACACCATGTGACTCACTGGCCAATGAATGCATATGCATGTCTGCTTGGAAGCCTAAAGAAGGATGCCTCGACGAAGCAATCACATGCATGATATATGTGCTGTTTGTCAATGCATATTAATTCTACCGTTCTTTCTTTTGCTGATTTTTAAAACTGCGGGTATATATGAATGCTTTTCTACAATATAGTCTTTTGAACGCGGTTACGTTTTAACTAGAATTTCCTCCGTTTAAATTTATCAATCAAAGTGCTTTTGTAATCGTAAGAACTAAGAAGTCATCGTATTTTTTAATAACCTATATTTAAATATTGGCGAATCACACGTAACTTATTCAGAAGTGATATATTCCTGAAAATTCCTTTAAACTGCTCTGTTTACCTTGATAAGAATTTAGCAGAAAACATATTTCAGGATATGTTAATGATTTGTTACTGTCTGACTATTGTTGCATAATAGTTTCAGAAATGGTTAGCATGAAAATTGTGGAGGAGCCTTCAAGTTACGGGTATGTTCTCTGATTAATTGTTACTTTTAAAACATGCATGTCAATAAGAGGTAAACAAATGGCGATAACAATTTATTTTTATGATCCCGTAAACAAAGTTCAGTTTTTGCCCTGTCTGTCCATCTGTCTGTCTGTTTGTCTGCAAAAACATAATCTTGCCCATAACTTTTGAGTGGATGGGGCTATGGCTTTCATATTCACAGGTGTATTCCTTGTGACAAGACTTTTCTTTGGGTACCACCAAATTTGACTTCTTGACCATGACCTTGGAGTTTGACCTACTTTTACAAAATATACTTTAACCTTGGCCATAACTTTTGAAGTCAGAAGTTGGATACCAAGGGCTTTTATACTTCACATCAGTCTACGCGAAAGTTTAAAATATTTACAGGACAAAATGTCTGGTAAAAATAAAATTTTTACCAGACCAAGCAATTTCTTACCAGACCGACTTTTTTCCTTTAAATCCATACATCATTATGATACTGAAATTGAGAGGGTGGGTGGGATTGGGTTAATTTTCATTTTGAAATTTATCCTTGAATAAATTCAGAGTGAAATGGACAAGTTAACTATTTATAATTTTCCTTTGTAAAAGTTCTCAATTTATGCAATATTGCATGCATTTTTTTCTTCATATTTGACTTGCATGTATACAACATACACTGTATCAAAGATTTTCTTAAATTTAATATGCACTTTCAATTCATATTTATTTTTCCTGAAACAACTCATTATGGTTACTCAAGTTCAGTGATCATTTGAAAATAACTTCCCAACCCAATTATACAAAGCTATCTAAATATTTTCCCAACCAAATCTACGTATGAGCTATCTATGGATCTCTTAACCCCTGACAGAGGAAATTCGAATTAGATATAAAAACGATCATGACAGGGTTGTAATACATAAAAATTAATCAGGTATTACTGCTAAATTGGTCAAATAAAGGATATTTGTGGGGAATTGGACCATGTGTACCTCTTAATTTAGATTTATTTGGCCTTATTTTTTTATCGGACATCTGGTCCTGTATACTGAAATTTTTTACCGACCCGACCTAAATTTTACCAGTAAAAACAGACGGTCCGGTGACTTTCGCATAGACTGTCACATGTATATTCATTGTGTCACAAGACCTTTCAGTGGGTATAAATATTTTTATCCTTAGAGTTAGACTCATATTTAAAAACATAGTTAAAACTAAGGCTTTCATATTTCATAGGTGTATCTCTTGTAACAATCCTTCAATTGGGTACCAACACTTCTGACCTTGACATTTGGAGTTTGATGTGCTTTTCTTTCGAGAAAATTCAATGTCGCCATAAGCTGCCATACGGGGGCATCAGTGTTTCACAAACACATCTTGTTTTAAATATTAATTTAAGCATTGGATTATTATTGTATGAAAAATGTACCTGTCCAGTACTCTGAGTACTCTCATACATGCTGTCATTGGTGTGTGCAAACAAATAAAGTAACGAGTGTTTGCATGTTATGAAAATTGGTTTGCAAACATCCCTGCAATTATTTAAGAAATAAACAACGTTATTCAGTGAACATGGCATTATGAATAGCAATTGCTCTGCTGGCATATTCCATGATGCTCGCTAGTGCATCATGGAAAATATGCCAGCAGAGCTATTGCTATTCATAATGCCATGTTCACTGAATAATCGTTGTTTATTACTTATATTTGCATTCTCTGATGTTGTCAGAGGAAATCTTGGCTTACATAAGGTTGCGGCTTGTTGTCTTCAGTAAATAAAAACTCACAGCTATAAAATCAGTATACCTGATCATTTTACCTTTTTTCTTATAAATCACAAACAATTTATAAAGTATTTGCCTTTTAAACACAGTTATCTGGATACAAGCTGCGCCGTCGTGCATTCTCTTAATTTAGGGAATAACTATCTTATTTGGTATTTGCGACCGTTAATGCTGATTTAACGGTCGCAAACTGAGTTTTACCGGCGACTCGTAAGCAGATGTTGCCAGATTAGCTTAGTTTATAGACTACCTGACTGAACATTTAGGGACCTGGGTTAGAAACCCAGTCTGATCTGTCACATTTTTCTCCTACTCTGTTAAAATTGAATTACAGGCTCCCAGTTGGGAGATTTATGTTTTGCCATTGTTGCTTCCTACAGGCCTGCACTCTCAGGCAATTAATTTGATCCGAATGCCTTAATATGAGACAGTATTGAACACCATAGCTATATAGTCAATATTTTGAACATGATTTAATTTTTTTCTTATATTTCTTGTGAGAGGTATGGTTAGTGTGTTAGTCTCTAAACTGTATTTTTATATAAACTTTTCCTGATGTTACCACTTTTTAGCTCACCTCAACGAAGTTGGGGGGAGCTTATGTGATACCCTCGGCGTCGGCATCGGCGTCCCGGGTTAAGGTTAAGTTTTTTGGAGCAGTTTTCTTTTCAAGTACTTCTATGTCCTATGTTGATTAGACATGCATGGAAGATGTTTCTAGTGTGTTTCCTTGTACCAGTCAAAGTTTCAGATGCTGCAATTTCAGCAAAGGAATGACCAGGTTAATGTTTTTGGTGCAGGTTAACATTTTTGGTGCAGTTTTTGGTGTAGGTCTCATTTCCGAGTAACTATAAGCCCTATGTTGACCAAACTTACATGGATGGTACATCTTAGGATGCATACTACCAGACTTGCTTCGGATGCTGAATCTGACCTACATTTTCCGGTTGAGTGAACAGGTTAAAGTTTTTGGTGCAGGTTTCATTTTGAAGATACTATGATCCCTATAATGACCAAACTTGCATGGATGGTACATCTTAGGATGCATTCTACCAGACTTGCTTCGAATGCTGAATACCTACATTTTCCGGTTGAGTGAACAGGTTAAAGTTTTTGGTGCAGGTTTCATTTCCAAGTTTCTATGAGACAATATAATGACCAAACTTGCATGGATGGTACATCTTAGGATGCATACTACCAGTCTTGCTTCGGATGCTGAATGTGACCTACATTTTCTGGTGAGTGAACAGGTTAAAGTTTTTGGTGCAGGTTTCATTTCCAAGTTACTATGAGACATATAATGACCAAACTTGCATGGATGGTACATCTTAGGATGCATATTACAAGACTTGCTTCGGATGCTGAATCTGACCTACATTTTCCGGTTGAGTGAACAGGTTAAAATTTTTGGTGCAGGTTTCATTTCCACTGAAGGTACTATGAACCCTATAATGACTAAACTTGCATGGATGGTACATCTTAGGATGCATACTACCAGACTTGCTTCGGATGCTGAATCTGACCTACATTTTCTGGACGAGTAAACAGGTTAAAGTTTATGGTGCAGGATTCATTTCCAAGTAACTTTGAGCCCTATAATGACCAAACTTGCATGGATGGTACATCTAAGGTTGCATTCTACTAGGCTGGCTTCAGAAGCTGAATCTGACCTACATTTTCCGGATAAGTGAAAAGGTTAGTTTTTTATACAGGTTTCATTTCCAAGTAACTTTGAGCTCTATGTTGAACAAACTTGCATGGATGATACATCTTAGGATGCACACTAATGGACTTGCTTCAGATGCTGAATTCGACATACATTTTCCAGATAATAGACCTCGTAAAAGTTATGGGTGCAGGTCTATCACCAAGAAACTATAAGGCTTATATAAACCAAAGTTGCACAAATGATGCATCAAGGGATGAAAACTCTCAATCTTGCTTCAGATGCTGGATTTTAATTACATTTTCATGATGAAGAACTAGATTTAAGTTTTTATATAGGTCTATTCAAAAGTATTAAAATTGCATAAATTTTGCATTTTTGGATGTACACTTTTTGTTGGTTAATTGTGTGACTTAATTTGCCTTACTTAAAGACAACATTCGTTGAGGTGAGCTCTGTAATCTCTGATTACCTATGTTTTTACAGGCTAAACAGTTATAATTTTGCCAGTCACACAACCGATGACAAGAAACTGAAGATGAGGATAAAGCCCAGTAATTTTACAGGCCCTGTACATCTAAAGAGACTGTATGGAAGATGCTTCTCTAAAGAGATGAATGAGTGAGTTTGATATTGAGTTTAATTATATACATGCACCTACTACTATAAACAGCTTAATTTGTATGCAAGACTAGTAATTTTGTTTTTCCATTTTTTCCTCCAATCTTTAATCTGACTAATTTTAAATGTACATGTCCTGAAATAATTAATTTTCCTAAATTATATTTAAAACAAATTTGTTATTAAAGTTACTGGTATATATTCTTTACATAGAACATATAGAACACCTTATATTGAGTTTAGTATTAAACAGGATGATAAAAGGAAAATAGATGAATATGCTATATAAATATTTATATTTCAGATACAGATATGAGTTCTGTCCCTTTTTCAATGTGACACAACATGAACAGTCCTACAGGTGGAACCCATTCAGTGGTGTACTCGGGTATATTGTTATAATAATTACAGAAATAAACTTATGAAATATGCCTACATGACAAGCACACCAATAACTTACACAAAACTTAAAAACATCCCTGAAAATATTTGTATATTGATTTCCTTAATATTTCTATTTTGTTTGTTAAACTTTCAGTGTATGGCAAGAATGGGAAATAGAAAATAACACATTTATTGCTATGAATATGAGAGAAGGAGAAAAATGTGGAGATTTCCACAGAACTGTCAAGGTAAAGACACAGTTTTTGCAGAATTCATTTTGAAAAGGAAAATTTAAAGTATTATTTGTTGTACTATTTGTTATATGATACAGGTATATTCCTAGCTCTTGACAATTTTATTTGGATTTTATTAAGATTCTGAGCTCTGTTTGTCAGGTAATATTCAGCTGTGGAGACAAGCATGATATTGTGAACGTGACAGAGCCCTCTACCTGTAACTACCACATGAGCTTTACCTCCCCTTATGTCTGTCACAGGGACTCTATGTTGGTTTACCCCACGCTGAGTGAGGAGCTTCAGCAGGCCTGGGATCAGTTAGAGGGGGAACTCTATAGGGAGGAAATTACCCCAAAAGTAAGTCTCCTTCATGATTGCTCTAATCAGAGCCTAGAAAGGTGTGTAAGACAATCCTTTGGCAATGGATCAGAGTGCATAGTTGAAATTTCAATGAAAAAATAATGCAAGTATTAAATAAATCATTTTGGTAAGCTTGACAAAAGAACTATATGCGGTATATTGCATATATTTGCCCCCACAAAAGTCCAATTTTGAAAACTTCCTGAAATGTGCTGAATTCAATAAATTGTATGAGAAATATAAATTAACAGAAAATATTATAGCGTCAAAGCAGTGTATTCACAATTTTTGTTTTTGTGACGTCACAAGCTAGTTCGATTTTATATCCTTTTTCAGAAAGAGGACAAAATGGACAAAATTTCAACAAATTTAGCTTTAAAATTTATAGAGCGCAAGTTTGTTCAGGAACAATATTGATATATTTCATTGATATTATCATTCTACACATTATATCAAAATATTGATCCTGAACACACATGCGCTCGGTGAACTCAAAATATCGACGAAATATGTACATTTTTCTGTAAAATTCCTAAACACTGAATTTTACGTCATGTTTGTGACGTCATTACGTACATATGGCATCATTACTTATGAAAATATTCAGTGCTTTGAAGTCAGCATATACTCCCCTGTTTAAGAACTTAATTAAATATATCTCAATCAAAGTTTGATTTGGGGGGCAAATATTGGTTATTACCGAATAAAGTTCTTTGTCTCACTTTTTAATTGTGAAAAATAAAGAATTTTAATTGTGTTTTTTGCTGGAGTATTGTTTTCTTTCATTGCAGGGGTATAATAAACAATTAAGAAAGATATTTGAGAAAGCAGGGTATTACATTCCATTGGAGGAGAAAAAGCTTTTAGCAGAACAGGCCATTCAGCGCGAGGAACGTGAGAAGAAGGAAGAGAGTGGAGAGTTTGATAACTTACCAAAATGTACAGAGGTATGTTGTGCCTTTTTGATTGATTGCCTTTGGGGCTTGGTCTCAAAATATATTTTGTTTTATTTAGACTTTCAAGGTTAAGAGTGCAAGAAGATGAAAACTGTTATTTGATTAGTTTCAGAATTGTATTCATAATTTAGTAAATTCAAAATACTTGTATATCACCTCTGTGTATCAGAGTTTAAAATCCAACATCAGATTATATGTATTCCTGTGCAAGGGGTGCATATCATTGATATACTGCTACATTTTTAAAATTGCTATATACTCATTACCACTACAAAAAAGGTTACATTACCACTACATTTAAAGGTAACATTACCGCTACATTTAAAAGTAACATTACCGCTACATTACCTATTCCGTCAGGCGGCGGCCTAAGCATGTATATGTACATATTATTGCACAAATTATAGCATAACTTACAAGACCTGCTTCCCCTGATCATCTTGAATTTGAGCAATTTTCTCTTTTAATTTTATTCAATAAAACATTTTAGAAAGTTTGAAAACGGTGCCTTGTTCATGGATAATCACTCAGTCTCTACACGATTGGTAGAGCTTTAAAGGCCATTTGCTAGACGAACTGATGTCTGAAAATCTCATAATAAAACATAATGAGTCAAACTTATATTCAGTTGCATGCTGGTTGATTGTATGTGTAGTGGTAGTGACTTGTAGTCGGCAGTATAGTCTTATTGATAAAATGTAGTGGTAATCATCACCCGAAATTTTGAATAAATGTAGCGGTATTAATGAGTTGAAAATTACCCCAATGTAGCGGTAATGTTGACCTCCCTTTTCAAGTATATGTGAAATCATATTGTGGGATGACCTTGATAAAGGAAAACCAGTGAGAAAGTTAAAAGTGAAGTCATATAAAGAAAGAACACAATCTTATAACATTATTTTTTTTATTTTAGGAATACAGAAAACTCAAAAAAGAAATAGAGGGTTTGAGGACACTTCTGGCAGTTAAAGATGACAAAGGTAAGCTTGTTTGTTTGTTTGTTGTTTAATGTCCCTCTAGAGAGTTATTCTCCTATATGAAGATGCCACCATTTGTCGTCGGAGCTGCAAATTTTGTCCTATACTCTAACTCAGCACTTAGGGCCATTGAGCAGTGAGGGATCATTTTTGTGCTAGCACCTATTGCGACACGGGACTTCGGTTTATACTGTCTCATCAGAAGGACTGGTCTCCACATCCCACATGGGATTCAAATCTGGACCTCTTGTTTAATTAATAGTTGCTTTTAAAATTTTGCTGAAAACATTTTTAAATAATTAAATAATTTTTGTTTTAGATGCATCAAATGCTTCAACAACACAAAAACCAGAAAAGAAAAAATCTAAGAGTAGCAGTAAAGTGGGGAATTTATTGAAGGCAATGTCATCCAAATCCAAGAAGACATGACACCAACCCTCCAAGGGAATCTCCTTTATCACACAACTCAGAATCACTGATCTCATCATGGAATCCATTATACATACGACATATTAATTTTGTTCCAGAAAACATTTTTTTAATGGTGAACATTGCTGTATGTTTGTTGATTCTATGCATTTTATTTGTGCAATAAATTATTGAATAAAATACTATATATTTTTACAACATTACTTTATCTCTTTAATTGTTTTAGAATGTGTGAAGTGTTTCACAAACATCTCTTGTTCATGGATAGGAATGTGATTGATCTTTGTGGATTGCTTTACTTGGTCAAGTTTAAGGAGACTTACTGGTAATCAGTAACCTGACAGTCAACAGAATAACCTGAGCTCTATCGTCTTTTTATCATGATTGTTTAATGGGAGAGGAAGAAAATAAGATGGACAAGACCAGAATTCAAATACTGGCCCATGATTCTCTAGCCAGGTGCTCTACCACCTTAGCTAAATGTATCTGGTCACTGGCGATCGAACCTCTTATGGTCCTAAAATGGCCCCCTGAAGACATCAACCCAGACTCTTCTTTGGCAGGTCTTTCACCTGTCACTTCCAGGGCATGACATGGCCTCAAATGTACTGGGAGAGGAGAAAATGTAATGGACCAGACCAGGATTTGATCCCAAGCTCACCAAATCTTCAGTCTGGTGCTTTACCAACTGAACTATCTGGCCATGAACATTAGAACCCATCTACCGCTACAGACCTTATGCTCCTTATATATCTTAGTTGTGGGGAGATCCCGTGAGAAGTCCATAGTATCATGCTGCCAACCTCTTAGCATGCTGGAGGAAATTTAATGATATATTTGCAATGAATCTGCCTGATGATGCTGAGCATACATTTAAGTGTACAAAACACAATATCTTAAATTTTATATATATTTTTATCACGATGATTACTCACACACTTTGAACACACTCAATCTAAACATATATACAATAAAGTTTGATCCTTTACACAACAAATAATCACAGACATTCTCCGTTAAGATGAGGATGGAGTAGGAGGGGCCATAGTTGGGGGTGGGGGGACCATGCCAGGGGGCATCATTCCTTGATTGTACATCCCTGTCCCAGACATTGCAGAGTGAGGTCCCAGTAAAATCTGAAACAGAAGTTATGACACATTTTCTAAAGTATATTGATACATGTAACCCAAAAAACAACCTAATCTAAGAACTTATGTTATCTTTGTAAAAAAAAAAAGAAAAAATGTAAGTACTAAACACGCTACAGTTTTAAAAAATTATTATTTAAAAAACTTGGTGAGATACCTGTTTTTCCTGTTGTTTTTGTTGATCTAGCATTTGCGCTCTTTCATTTTCAAACATAACTGGTAAAACCAGTATTGTCCCAGCAGACATTGCTACCCATAATGCACTCTTGCTGAAGGAAAATCCCCATTGTGTGGCTTTCCATGAGAGAGATCCTGCTTTACAAACCACATTTCTGACAGACTCTGGAAACATCTCTGTTAATCCAATCAATCGCTCTACCAAAGTCTCATCCAATTCCTAAATTCAGATTGAAAGTGTCATTTTATTTACTTGTTTAACTCAACATGTCTGGCACAATACCTTGATTTAGCTATATAGCTTGATTAAGCTAGTGAGAATATCTTGATTTGGCTATTTTATCATTTGTTTGCACGAACAATGGTATACAGGTACCAAATTGATGGAAATATGTATTTGATATTTGATTTGGATTGCTTTTAAAATAGTCCTTAGTGCAAAAATGAGTTTTCACATAATTTTTTGACTTTTTTTTCTTCTTCTTATGCCCCCGTAAATGAATACGGGGATACATAGTTTTTGCCCATCTGTCTGTTTGTCCATAAAAACTTTAACCTTACCCATAACTTTTGACTGGGTGGATCTATGGCTTTCATATTTCACAGGTACATTTCTTGTGACAAAACCTTTCTTTACCAAATTTGACCTCTTGACCTTGATCTTGGAGTTTGACCCACTTTAACACCAAAATTTCAAACTAATACTTTGGCCATAACTTTTGAATGGTTGGTGCTAGGACTTTCATACTTCACATATGTATTCTTTGTGACAAGAACTTCCATTGGATACCAACAACTTTGACCTTTTAACCTTGACCTACTTTTAAAAAACTTTAACCTTGGCCATAACCTTTGAATGGTAAGGGCTAGGGCTTTCATCCTTCACATATGTAATCCTTATTACAAGATCTTTCATAGGATACCAACAACTTTGACCTTCTGACCCTGACCTTGGAGCTTTACCTACTTTTAAAATACTTTAACCTTGGCCATAACTTTTGAACAGTAAGGGCTAGGCTTTCATACTTCACATATGTAATCCTTGAGACAAGAACTCCATGTTGTCTCATATAACCAGACTCTCGGCTGTCTACGTAAATTCCAATGTCATGTGACATCACAGTCTAGACTGTGTCGTGCGGTTTGACGTTTGATTGGTTTGAATGGGGCGGATCAACTGTAAGCAGTATAAAGGACTGCACTCGCCCCAACGGTCACATCATAAAACACATTAATAGTACATCTGGTGTAGTCAGTACATGTATGTAAATAGACAGGTTGGGCACAACCTTAGTCCTACCAAATGGTCCTTTATCCCTCATTGGGAGAAAATCTACCATATCCGAATCAAATTTTACTAACCAAATGAGGGACTTTTTTTTATTCTATTGCAATTTTTATAACAAGAGGCCCATGAGCCACATCGCTCACCTGAGCAACATTACTGATGCCGTTCTTTACCCAATTTCCCCATTGTAATACCTAGTGTGACCCCCCCCCCCCCCCCCTGAGCAGCATTAGTGATGCCGTTCTTTACCCAATTTCCCCATTGTAATACCTAGTGTGACCTCCCCCCCCCCCCCCCCCCCCCCCCCCCCCCCGGGGTCATGATCTTAACAATTTAGAATCTACACTACCCCAGGATGCTTCCACATAAGTTTCAGCTTTTCTGGCCCAGTGGTTCTTGAGAAGAAGATTTTTAAAGTTTGTTCCTATATATTTCCATGTAAAACTTGGATTCCGTATTGTGGCCCCGTCCAACCTCCGGGGGGTCATGATTTGAACAATTTAGAATCTACACTACCCCAGGATGCTTCCACATAGGTTTCAGCTTCTCTGGCCCAGTGGTTCCTGAGAAGAAGATTTTTAAAGTTCGTTCGTGTATATTTCTATGCAAAACTTTGATTCCCTATTGTGGCCCCACCCATCCCCTGGGGTCACAATTTTAACAATTTAGAATCTACACTACCCCAGGATGCTTCCACATAAGTTTCAGCTTTTATGACCCAGTGGTTCTCAAGAAGATTTTTAAAGTTTGTTCCTAAATATTTCTATGTAAAACTTGGATTCCATATTGTGGCCCCGCTCAACCCCCCGGGGTCATGATTTTAACAATTTAGAATCTACACTACCCCAGGATGCTTCCACATCACTTTAAGCTTTTCTGGCCCAGTGGTTCTTGAGAAGAAGATTTTTAAATGTTGTTCCTATATATTTCTATGTAAATATCAGATTCCCTACTGTGGCTTCGCCCTACCCCTAGGGCTGGGACGATACAACTTTTTCTATATCGATACGTATCACGATATTTTGGCCACGATACGATATGTATCACGATATGTTTAATTGCTTATAAAATCTTTCTTTTGCATTGAAATAAACAAATTATTTCTTTGCAAATACGAATAATTTGTTCAAAATAGTTGTTTACATGTTGTAAAACAAAAATATTTTACTCAAATGGTGTTAATTATTTTTTATTTCATATCTATATTTATATTTAACTCATTTATTTTATATATTGAACCCCAAATGTTAAATAAACAAAGAAAAATAGAAATAAGATTTTCATGGGCGATATATCGATCAGGGGTTCAAAATTCCTCAAGCCCGACGTCCCGGACTAACAAATTCCGGATCCGGACTCGGCATTTAGAATTCGCCAAAGTCCTGGGACTTGGCTATATTTCTTGTTTATCTTTTTTTTAAGTTAAAAAAATGATCGTAAAGCTAAAAATAAAGCAAATTCTCAAATGTATTAAGTAAAAATGTGGTTTGTGGGCGTTGAAATACCCATAAAACATTACAAACGTTTTGAAAATACAATCCGTCTTTTTATTTTCCGTTGCGGTTAGACTCTTGCTTTTACGCAATTTCTCATGTTTCCTCCTATATGACAAACAGCAAGGAGTTTGTTAAATTTCGGTTTTACCAGCAGTAATGCACATTCTAATTTCTATTTATTGTAACAGATGATTTATTCAGTAGTGAGTATTTGTAAAAGTTATTGTAATGTACCAATAATCTATCAGTCTGGTATTGTGTTGAAATACTCATGTATGACTAGGCTTATAAGGATATATGACAGTTTATGGAGGAAAAATAAAACATATATTATTAATACATATAGTCTTTATTCATTCAATGCAACAAATGAAAATAAATTATAAGTAACATAAATTTAATGATGTATAGGTAAATATGGACTCTGAAATTTCTTCCTTGGACTAGCCTAAAATTTACTCTTTAAGTCCTGGACTTGACCATGACAAAAAAAATTTTGAACCCCTGATCGATATTTCTTCTTATGTATCGATATGCGTATCGTCCTCACAGATATCACGATATATCGATATCTCGATATATCGTCCCAGCCCTACCTACCCCCAGGGGTCATGATTTTAATAATTTAGAATCTACACTAACCAAGGATGCTTCCACATAAGTTTCAGCTTTTCTGGCCCAGAGGCTCTTGAGAAGAAGATTTTTTAATGACACCAACCTAATTTTGTATTTTCTTGATTATCTTCTTTTATGAGGGGTCTTGGCCCTTTATTTTCACAATTTAAAATTGCCTTCGGCTAAGGATGCTTTGTACCAAGTTTGGTTAAATTGGCCCAGTGGTTCTTGAGAAGAAGTCAAAAATGTGAAAAGTTTACAGACAGACGGACGGACGGACAGACGACGGACAAAATGTGATCAGAAAAGCTCACTTGAGCCTTCGGCTCAGTTGAGCTAAAAATAAAACAAAAGCGCATTTATTCAGGCATTGGGGGATTTTAGTGAACATATTCCTCGCACAATTAACATAAATCGGTCGAATTTCTATGTGCAATTTCTCTGTAACTTCGTAAAAACAATACCCATAGTTGTCTGTAACAGCCAAACTTCTTGATCAATCGATCAAAAAAAAAAATCTTTGTTGTGTCTTGTTGGATAAAAATTCAATTTGATCTAGTGATTTAACTCTTGGTGAGTTAATTAACTTTCAGTCTCTTTTTGGACCTTCGTTAATGTTTATCTCCGTGAAATCCTGTTAAACATGAGCTACTCATGCCTTACTGGTATGGTGGGCACTTCCTGCTATAAAGTTAATTTTTTCCAGAGTTGAATGTAATATTTGTTGTCATTTTTCTTTAAGGATGAAGTTGCAGATTCCATGTGACCTTTTGGGGTTTAATATGCATATTACTGGTGAATTTAATAAATTTGAAAAATAATATTCAAAAGAAGATGTACAAACTGACTTTGCCCCCGCTTGAAAAGCGGGAGGGTATATAGTAATCGTTAATTCCGTCCGTCTGTACGTCTGTCCGTCCGTCCGTCCGTCTGTTACGCTTTGGGGTACCCATCTCTTATCCGCAACTCCTCTCATACCACTGAATGAAATTTGATGCAACTTTCACAGAACCTTTATTACATATTGTCATTGTGCACCTCCTATTTTACTTTTTGATACAACACATATTTTGGGTTTCCCGGCCACAGGAAAACATGGACTTTTTCACCAGTTATAACCATATGGGAGGCGGGGGGTATCATTTAGTGAGCTCATCGCTCACAGTACCTCTAGTTCTTGTTTTTGTTCCAAGTACATCATTTTAAAACAATAATTATATCATACTCCAACTGCATTTACTATTTTTATGAAGAACAAAGCCATTGTGTTCAAAATAAAACGAAATAAAGGCAAAAACTTATTTTTTTCTTCTGATTTCCTAGTTGAAAATTAACACAAATGTGCCGCCGTAGTTAAATCCGACTTTGCATCAGGTTTAAAAAAGGTCATTGTTTTGATTTGTTTGCACTAATTGATTGGTTGCCTGGATAATCGAAATAGAAAGTAAAGGACCTGATTGACAGGTGCAGCATCGTTGAAGAAGGAGAGAATTTTTCTTTTAGAGTAAAAAAATGGAGTAACATTGCACTTGTTTACATAATCTACGTTTTTGTCAAATTTTTTAACGACTCTTCGCAAAAAATTGCACATAGAATTTTTAATTTTTTTTCACTCAGAACACGTCAAATATCTATATGTTATTCCACATGGTTTAAAATTATGCACAATTCCACTCCACTCAATGGAATTAAACAGTTACACAACCAATTTTGTCCCCCAAATGGTCAGTAAAATTCAATACCGATATAAAAGACTGTCTACCAAACGGGGGATATGAAAGTACCATTTGGTAGGTTGTGCCCAACCTGACAGAGTTTAAGTTTTCAATCAAGAAGACAATACACTCACTTCGTCATCATCGTCATCCTCAATAGCATTGGTCAATTCTTTTAACTTGTCTCCTGTAAGTTCCATATTCTGGTCGCCTCCTGCACCAGCTGCATCCATATCAAGCAACTGAATTTGATGAGGGTTCTTGTTTTCTTCCCCGTGTTTCCAACTGAACTGCTTTCCAACTCGTGCTCTAACCTTGATCAATGTTAATAATGTATTTGGCATTTCACCATTATTTAATCCTGTAATCAAACACTTTCCTGATGTGGATCATAAATTGAGAACTAGACTTGAACAAATGGAATTCTGAAGATTGTGAGTTTATATTAATAAACTAATCTTTAAATTTGTACATAATTCCGACTTTACCTATAACCCATTGACATTACCGTAAACAATAAAATCATTCCTCTTTATCTGCTTTAACTTTTAGACATTCAACTTTTAAAACTTTAAGTTATTTTTCTGTCGAATAATTGCATAATTTTAGAAAAATCATTTACATTGTATTTCACTTCAAATAAAAGAATGATACACATGTTTTAAAATAAATAAAATCATGATTAACGTAAGAAAAATTTTAACTCGAAATAAGAGACCTCGCATTAATAAAAATTGAACGCACCTTTTCCCGGAATCTCTCGAAACTTTTCAACTTTCGTCGTTTGACAGGTCAGGATCACAGGATGGGATGATGTTTTGTGCATCTCTTTGAAGCTTGGCGATATATTTTCATATTGAAGAAAAGAAACTTATGGATAAAAGTCTGATGTAAATAATAAAACATGGTAAGTTCTTCTTTTGTAGCTGGAAATCGCCTATATCAGGCTGTAGTGAAGAGTATCTGCTTAATCAAATTCAGGAAATGAGAGTCACGATCCAATATATTCTGATCTGTCGCTGGTTTCACCTTTTTGTGAGGCTGATTTAATTCTTGATTTCAGAATAAATATTAAAATACTAAACTATTCGTAGAGTTATGTTTTAACGAATTAGATCCACAAACTAAATCCCAAAAGAAACACCGAGCCATTACATGTGTACTGTGTAGAGACTAGTATGGAGGAAACTGCAGTATGAATAAACTTAAAAAGATCTCATAATTTATTCAGAGTGTTTGACTTTTTTGCAATTCTAAGTCATTGAGTTGACATATGATTTGTGATGAGAAATATTTGCTATGTCAGTATGTCTAGGTTCTCATGAAACTCGGAAAAATTTCTCACTAGGGAATAAAAGTTGATTAACAGTATTGAAAGACATTTCAGAATGTACAGTGTATTTCCTCATTATAAAAAAAACAAACACCAGATATTTTTGTTAAATTCAGTAACTATGTCATAATTGCCTGACGTCACGGCATCAGGCACTACTAAGGATCAATATTACCTAGTTGCGAAGCTAAGAGGTCACAGTTAGCCAGCAAAATTTTGTGCATGCTGATTATCATCGGATTTTGTTACCTGCATTTCAACAACAACAGTTATCAGAAAAATAACCATATTACTGATACAATATAATGATGTTTTTTTTGCATACACCTATTTATTTCATGCGAGTTCCTAGACGGACGTCTGTTTGACCTTTTTTTCTGCGTTTCTATACTACTGGATTAGCCCATTTGTCTTCTAGGTAAGGGATGACACAATCATTTCATGCCAAAAGGTCACTTATAAGTTTTTGCACCCTTTTCCTGGACTATTCTATTGGATGAAATGAAAACTGCATGAATTATATAAGATGTGTTTTTTTTGTCGCAATCTTGATTGAGCTTTGGAAGAAACATTTTGGTGAAATTATGAAGTGAGTTAGAAGTTACATCATTTAAAGTAATAAAAAACTTCTTAAGAGGATGAACTGGCCAAATATACATCTGATCATACCCCTGATCATTATTTTACAAAAACAGAATATAGACTTGGGAAAGTACCCCCTCACATTTCAGGATTGAGGGAGTTTATTACTTTTTTGCTTTTACAAATATTTTTTATGTGGACCCCCATCCCTGGGAAAAACTTCCTGAATCCGCGCCTGTCTCCATGCATAAATCACTGTCAAGTTTGTTGGGTCATTTATGCATAACAGGCTTTATTTATACGACATTTTCAACAGTCGTTGATGCTCTGGCATACCCAAGAAACTAGTAAACTTATTCTGCATGTCAGTCATAAAAGTTACGATTCCTTGCAATTTCTTGTAGTTATCATATTTTCAGATGTCTTCCTCATAGCCTATGCTTTATGCAGTTGAATCTAATTTATGTAACCTTTACATAGCCACGGCTTTCCAGCATAAATCAATTACATTTGTTTATTTCCCTTATTTACTTCATCCACTACAACCATTTTTTAGACTCGCGGAATGAGGTGTTCATCTTTCATTCGCGGGTTCGAATCCACAGCGGAACGTGGAGATCGGTCCTTCGGATGAGACCGAAAGGTTCTCTAGATAGTGATGGCATTAGTCCGGCAAGCTTTTTGAAAAGCTGTTACTTGTAACTATTATAAGCTAGCAGTGTAAGGCAATTATGTATATTGGTTAGCATTCCTGTTAGATCCACTTCTTCAAATCACAGATATTTCATCTAGACTGTGACATGATGTCACATCATTTATTGTTATATGTTAATTGAATATTTTCATTTTGAAGTCTGATATATATGCATTTTTTTTAAAAATGTTAAATCTATCATCAATATCTATTTTTATTTGTAAACTTTTTTTGGTTATCATGAGATTTTATTGGATACCAATGACCATATGTAATTTATGGAAGGTTTGGGAACTTTAACTTATTGGAGAAGGAATTCAGCATGCAGACAGTGTGAATTTTCTTTCTGATTTCAGATGAGTTGAGTGTCTTAATCTTTGAAGTATTGTATCATTACAGCATTATATACTTATAATTAGGGATAGCTGAAACTATGATACATAATTTTGGGATTAGCGTGATAAAGCAAAATCATTACACTGGATGTAGCATATGAAAGCAGCTAAAACTAAAATTACAGCACTTTTAGAGTCATATTCATGGTCTTCTGTTATATTTTTTCTGTCATTAAGTTTTTAACAAGGTCTACGTATATGGAGAAGGAGAACAAGCCGTGTTTCTGAGGACATCGTATTTGTAGGACACTTTTTGATTATCTTTGATGCTAGAATGTCAGCTTTGATGCTGTCAATAAGGACTCATTTATGCTAAATATAATGTTAAAGCAAGCATTATTAAGAAGTACGAACATTATGTGTTATTAGTTCAATTTATAAACATATTATATAAATCATGATAAGATTTATTAAGCTATTGCATGCTGTAATGTCAATCCAAAGTCTACCACAGAAAGAAAATATACATGTACATGTATATGTTTTTGCATTATTTCTTCAAATCTTATTTTTATTGTAGGCTTCTGACCAGGCATCACTTAAAGCTCTAGAGAACTTGATGACAGAGTTCTTTGATGGAAGAACGTCCAATGAAAGAAAAAGAAATATAGGTACAGTGTATTAATGTTCACCTGATGATTTTCAATGTCATACATGTTATTCTGATTTTATGTCAGAATTTTCTAAGATGGACTCTGATTGTACATCTCACTCTGTCAGAATCATACAGAATGAACACAAACTTAAGTCCTTAAAGTCATGTGACAGGAGATAGTCATCAGATTTCAGGAAAAGTGCAAAGTTTATTATAAAGAAAAATAAAATTGAACATTCTTGAAAACGACAAAAACGAATCCCAGTTTTCCCCCCAATAACTCAATAAAAACAAGAATAAAGAAGATATAATAAAATTATTTCAATTATTACAAAAATATTGAAGTATTTTTAACGTGATTAAAATTACAGAAAGGTGAATACATGTATTGCAGTATATGTAAAAAAAAAAAAAAAAGTTGAGTAGACTTTGATATCTAAATTGAAATAGTTCAATGTATTAATATAGATATAAAACTAATTTACAGTGTATTATTCAAAAGAATTTTGTTAGAGTTGTCTTATTAGGTTTAAAGAAAGATTTATTGTGATGGACTGCTTGAATGACTTTTAACTTGGTACATTGGTTTCCCTCAAGAATTACCACTAGATTATCCCAAATGATTCAGAGGTCACGAAAATCAAAGATCTAGGGTCAAACTAAAATTTTACTACTCGATATCATGAATACCCAGTTCTGAATTTGACAGACAACAAATTTGATACACTAACAGTGGTAAGATATAGATGACCCCTATTAATTTTGAGGTCATAGATCAAAGATGAATTTAGGGATTACTCACTGTACACCAGCTATTATTCACATCATCTTTAATTTTTAAGAAATCAATAATCCATGACGATTAATTTTTGCAGTTGAGGAAATATTTTCTTAAAATACAAAGCCAAATAGATGGTTCACAGTGATTAATTTTTGCGAGGTCAAGTAGGTCATGAAACTCAAGGATGTTTCTGGCACAAAAATAAAAGTTGGTTTACAGTGGTTAACTGGACATTAGAAGATACTGACCACTTAGTATCTTTACAAACCTTTTCTTGACAACCCATATTGATTTTGAAGTCATGATATCAAAGTTCAAGGGTAGAACTGGACAAAGGAAGATATTGTCCTCTGAATATCTTGAGAATTCTTTATTTGACATACATCGAGCTTGGTACGCACTTAAATAAGGAAAGTGTGACCCCTCTTGATTATGAAGTAACATTGGGCAAGAGTCAAATGATACAGACACATGAAAGATGATAATGTCAGCTCAGTTTCTTGAAGAGAGTTTTCTTTACAGGCATGTTTACAGTTTAATCTTTAATTTGTTGTAGAGGAAATTCTAAATAATTTCACACAAACCAGAGATGCCTGGCAGCATTGTTTATATTACCTGGCAAACACTCAGAATGAGTACGTCATGATGTTCTGTATGACAGCAATAGAGGTAGGTTCAACCTAATGGCAAAATTTAAAAAAGAAGAAAAAAATACTCTTAAGGATGTACAACACACCTACCCCCAAAAATTCAAATTTTCGTTATCAACCTAATGGCAAAATTTAAAAAAGAAGAAAAAAATACTCTTAATTCTTATTTGCAGCTTAGTAAAACTCATTTTAGAGCCTACTTAAAACAAATATCAAATAAAATTTTATTGAAGCTCACAATACTTATTGTTTAATTGGAGGAAGGAAATTATAATGTGGTCATTGCTTCCCTTTTATAGAGTTTGATCAATA